CTGCTGAAACCATGCGCCTTGTAGAGCAGCAATGTGAGGTGGGATAACAAATGTAAGGCCACAATAAAAAGGGTTGGCACCTTTTGGAAAGCATTCAAACACACTGGAGAACCATTGAGTCACAACTTGAAGTGGCACTCAGGTAGTGTTGAGACACAGCTGGCTGACATGATGTTGATGATGAAGGTGGTCTGATTGCATTCATTGAGATCTGTAAAGGGTTGTGTGATGTTGAGAATGTCAGCAAAGGAGAAGTTATCAAGGCATTTCTTGCAACAACAGAATGATGCAACAACAGTATTGATGTGATCATTGCTGACAAGCAGGTGACGCTTTTTGGGGATTCACTCTTCAGCAGTTTGGAGAACTCTCTTCCTTGGAGTATGAGCTGTGGCTTGTAAGGACTGGCTGAAGATTGGGGATAGTAGGCTAGAGGTGAGGACCTCAGTGTTGGTGGGGAGAGAGTGGCTCATTGTGGTGGAGAACAACTGTATGACACTGGAGAGGTATTTAAACATTTGGTGTGATATCTCCAATTCCCAACAGCCACATAATGGATAGATGTGGTTCTTCTGGATTGGTGACATTTGTGTTTCTTGGAACTCCAGACCAATGAGCTCACAACTAACAACAGTGGAGTTGAGGAAAATACTGGACAAATTAATATTATATTCCCAATGCACATCAGTTTTAATTTGTTCTCCTGTTTCCTGATGTGCACCAGGAAAACAAATAAAAAACCCAATGCACATTGGGAAGCAAGTCAACAAATAAAAAACCCAATGTGCATTGGGAAGCAAGTCAACAAATAAAAAAACCCAATGCACATCAGGAAGATCTCAAAGGAAATTTCGCCACCTGTTTCCAGTCCCTCCAATTAGAATTTAATGTGGACAGCTTTTTTGTGGACCTTCACTACCTATAAAATGTTGAAAAACCTGTTTTGATCATTTTGTTGTACCACCCATGTTCAACACACACTTCCTTACAATGTCTTCTCACCAAGCTGCCTCAGGCCTTCCCAACTTCTCAGCCATGTCAGCCACCAAGCTTCTAGCAAGCTCCCATAATGCCCTAG